TATGTGTGATTTATTCAACAAGACAGTGTTAGCCAAATCAGCAAATATAATCAACTCAACAATGGGCTTTGAAATACCATTCTTGTGTTTATATGTTTCGCTATCTCTTTGATAGCCACACAAACTTTCCTTTCGGGCAAAGATGATGCTGCGGGTTCTCATCAGTCGAATCAACATGGAGAAGAGATGCCTTTACAGCTTGGCTTCTCTGTTTGCCAGACCGTAATAATTTTCTAGAACATCTATTTTACCATCAGTAAGCTGACCTTTACCAGATATTCCTTTTCTATCCGAAAGTTTTCTGGGTAGAACTATTTTTATGCACACAAACTGTAAAACAATGTAATGAGAATATCCATGTTCATCTCCACTGTCAGGACATTTCAAAATGTTATCAAAGACACCAAATAAAATTGACAAATCCATAAATACTGTTCCTTTCCTTGTAGTGTCTATATAATTTCGGTATTAACACCAAAGTTTGCTGTCTGAGAGCCAATTTTCGCTCTGGAAGGTCCAGCTTCTTTGTCACGAGATTCGCCATGTTTGAATTTCTTCGCCGTCTTCGAAGGCGGATTTTATCGCTCTGTTCTTCGTATTTTTCATTTATTGACTTCAAATTACAATCCAAATAACAAAACGAATCTTTGAGAAACTAGAACAGCAACTTTTCGACTTGGAATTTAAGAAAAAACTAAGATTTTTGTCGATAATTTCACAGTGAATGCAAATGCGATCGATCACAAGACAGACAAAGAAATCGCGTTGCCATGGCTCCCCAAAGCAACCAATCGCAATGCAGCTAAGTCAGAAGATTCTAAATCACATACACCAAAAGGAGAAACATAAAGAAACTTGTTTGAAGTGATTTTTGAACGAAATTTTGAGTGAATTTTGTACCTAAATGCGTTGCTAGGGCGTTGCTATGGGGTAAATTTTCAAACAAGGTAACTTTGAGAGCTTTTTTCACCTAATTTAGATTTTTTTGAAAAAAATCAACCATGCAGTCTTAATGTACAATAGTTAATGGGCTCAAAATAACAAAAAAAAAAAATTTTCAGAAAATGTTCAAAAATCAGATAATAAGACGGGGTGACTACCAATAAAGAGGAGAGCAAAGTTACTTTCATGCGAGAATTGCGTAATTTGATATAATTTTATTTCAAACTCAACAAAGTTTATTGATAAGTTTAGTTATGAACATTTTAAAACGTTTTGCGAAGCGTTTGTGGTTGGGTTTTACATTATATTATACCTCAAATTCAAATTGTCCAATGAAAAAACAGCATTTGTACCACGTGATGTGATTTTTTACGGTATTTCACTCAAATTCATGATTTTGCAATGCGGCGTGAGATACTATAATATCCCACGGCAGATCCACCGTGGGATATTATAGTATCCCACGCTCACGCAAGACGCGTGGACACCACGCTCTGAAACAATATGGCGTTCGCGAGCTGTTGTTTGTAATTTTATTATTTCGTACAGAAGATTTGATTTAACCAAAGATTTTCAAGACGTATGTTACCTTTAATGACCCAAAGGATACATGCTCAAATATTTTAAAGAGGAAACGTCAAAAACTCAGGTATACATAAGAAATTAAAAATTGTATTCGCGTACTAGTTAATATTCAGCAAGTTTTAAAGTTTATTCTGAACTTAGTGAGTTCTTTAACTTTCGGTATAATACATCATTTATAGCCCTTCGCTCAGGGGATTCGGCGATATTTCCCTCAGTGATGATATTTTCCTCGGGGCAAAGCCCCTCGGAAAATATCATCACTTCGGGAAATATTACGCCGAATCCCCCTCGCTCTTTATCTATAAATGATAAAAATTACATACATGCATACATGGCTTTTATTCCATCATGCGCTAGCCTTTTTCAACGTTTTTAAAGTACAAACTAAGCCGGTTTTCAGGAGGGGCGTAATTGCTACTAATTACAACTATCCCAAATACTTAATTATTATGCTACTACATCTACAACGACTATGCATGGTGGTTTTAAATCAGTTTACAAATTCCTTATATCGTAAACTCAGAAGTCTTAGTACTAGGGTAGCTCTTAAACACGGTGCCGAAAATTGAAGCTTATATTATGCATAATAACACACCTAACATGTATATTTGTGAAATTGGTATTTTTTTTAATTGAAAGAGATATTTCGTTGGTTTTTTTTTCAATTTTAAAAATATAAAGAATAAAATGATCGTGTAACCACAACAACCACTTCAAATACTTCACGTTTGGAAAATATAGTTATGGGGTTTCGAGGGGGTTTCGCTGCATGCATGTATTTCTAGTACAGGCTATAAATTAAACTATATATTGCATGAAACTTAAGGCCAAGAACTTTCTGTGTCCGTCATTCGTGCTCAAGTCACCTGTCGAGGTTTACCCGTAATTGTTTGGACGAAAAGAGCAAAATGGAAATTAATTAAATGGTAGGTATGTTATAAGTGAATAAGTAAATATAATTATATTGCGGTGTACGGGAAGTAGAAATAAAATCTTGTTTCGCTCAAACTCATGGGCTTTCGTTGCGATGGTTAGAGGTAGGACGTTATTAAGAGACACCCACACCGGATGCAAGGTTCATTGACATCACCTGCAACGAAGGGCCGTGAGGTAGTCAAACCCATTTCTTAACTGAAACACAAGTTATATTAAAATGACCGAATCCAATTTTAGTTAATATTAGAAAGCTTACCTGGACAAGAGAACTATCGTTTTCAGTATCTTTATTGTTTCCCAAGCAATGAACCAGATAATCTTTCAAACTCCCATGTTTCTGATTTCTAAAATATTCTGTCCAAAGCTTCTCTGCATCGTGCTTTAGTTTTGTTGCTGGTAGCCTAGCAATGGCATCGGGTGATGCACACTGCAACAACGTGTATATTGATTGGGACAGAATCTAGAAAGAAAAGCTATCATTTAACCTTTTGACAGAACATTTTGGCAAGAGAGGGAAATTATAGTACCACAAACGATATCAGCTAAGTTGATCCTGCAACATGAAATTTAGCCATTGTATTTATATAGAATGCAAATAATATTCAGATAATTATGCAATACTCGGCTGTCGCCTTGTGAAATGGAAATTCCATCTTTCACCTTTTGAAAATATTTTTACCATTGTACTCATAAACATTCATTGTTTGCAAATTTATTTGCACAGTAAAGATGTAAAATAGATGTAATACAAAATCTTGAATCAGGCCGGGAAGGGAAATAACAATCATTGGGATTTTTCTGCGTGGGACAAAACCCACCATCTCATGAAATCTGAAGGCAGGGGGATAAGGGATTGTTGGGAGTAGTGGTGGCGTACAGCCATAGTGACTCGATACGCTAGAACTTTATGGTCTGTCACACAGGAAAACATTTAAAATTTTCATTAATGGGTTTTCCATTAAAGATTTACCATCTATACTATCAATGTACAAACTAAACTCTTACCATTATTGGTTATCCATATGGTAAAAAACCATGTTTAATATTTACTATTAATGGTATTTTCCTGCTAAATACTAAACATCATGGTTTTTACTAATTTACCAATGGGAAGTCCATAATAACCAATAACTGTAAGAGTTCAGTTTTTACATTCAAAAATCCATTAATGGAAATTTAATTATTTTTCCTGTGTCATCAGCTCAGAATCAACTTGGTTTGGGAGAGCCTGCCCTGAAACTAAAACTATACATTGAAAGCACCCTTGCTCTGCTGTGCAATGCGTAGATCTGTCTGCATGTGGATAAGATGGCTAAGTGCATGTGTAGATAATTTGTTCACATCATATCAGTTATTCGGCTTTACTTGCAGTCACTAGTCCTTGAAGCGTCTCAGCTAGCTGTGGAACCTCCCCGTCAAATGCTGCAGACTTGGTAGGTCTGTTGAATGTACAAAGCTATGTATGAAAAATTCTTACCTGCTCATTAGACCAATCATTCCCAAGGTTGGAAATTTTCATAACTACGGCAGCAACAGTATCGCTATGGTAACCAACAAAACAATCACCAGGCTTGAACAAGCTATGATGTCAGAAAAACATACAAACGAATTTCAGAACGCAAGCTATCATTAAATCATCATACCTATTAATGTCAGATCACCTCTGATGAAGACACTAGACTGGAGTGTTGAAACGTTGGGTCTTGAATGCAATTCGACTGGGCTTTGCATTCATTTATTAAAACCAGCGTAGTGAACGAAAACATGAGAAATGTACATACTGGCACAAAATTTGATTTTATAATGCACACTTCTGCCTCTCGTTTACAGGATAAGCGTATGATTGATAATTTTTGAATGTTGATTTAGTATAAACTACTCTCTTCCAACACCTATATAAACCTGGTTCAGAGTTTGTGCTTGAACCTTGACCTTTACCTTTGACCTCTCAGTTCTTGTACCTTGGTAGCCTGCGTGGCAGGCCCTCAGTTTTATGGGGGGCTTGATTTGCAACGGGCAGGATTCTGGCGGGCACAGGGGAGGATTCCTCCCCCGTGCCCGCCAGAATCCTGCCCGTTGCAAATCAGGCCCCCAATAGAACTGAGGGCCTGCCACGCAGGCTAGTACTAGGCTGGTCAAACCAGAATGGCAAGAATTGTACGAGATTTGATGAAAGTTGATTAGACAAGTTCAGATTGAACTTCCACTAACGCTACAGCCAGTATTGATCAATCACATGGGTTTAAACTACCCGATTAACTAATCGAATGCGTATATTAAGCCAGAGAGAGGCAGCAGTAGTGGAAGTCAAATCTGAACCTCTCTAGTGGATACTATACCGGCGGTGTAAACTCTCAACACCTCTCATCATGACTTGAACCAGTTCAAAGTTGATGAGTGATAATGAAAGCGCATGAGATTCGATGACAGTTGGTGGTCAAACACGAGGGAGAGTTGCAACACTCGTCGACCTCCATCCATGTTTGAACGGGTTAAGGTGGGTTTAATTATATTATCTCCTGCATGTCCTGATGCACATGGAAAGTTCTCAAACAGAAAGCCCTAAAACTTGTCTTTTAGTCTTTTATTCTTGCTAAAGCTAAACAATTTGAAAACGTCCTCGAAGTTACAAATACGGCATGGTTATTCATTAAATCGTTGTATTTCATCACTACAGCAACTCAAAGTTCTACCTCTCGCCAGATGAATATTCAGGCTTTGCTTCCGAGAAGACCTTCACCCAGCCCTCCAATTCTTTAGCCAAGCGAGCTTGATGTTCTGTTAAACCAGTCGACATTACCAGTAAATGTTTTTCCAGTCGATTGATAAGAGGAATTGGAAAACGTTCATAAACGACATCCTTTTCAGCAACTACAATCAACCTAGAAAATCAATTTTACACAATTTTACGAATGTCTTTGACAGGGTGACAGAATCTTCATTCTAACTTTTCCCATTGCATATGCGGCTTTTGTAAAAAATCCCAATAATTCTTTGTGGTTGTGGATACAAGTGAAGCGACGTAATTATTACTGAGTAGGGAAGTTCCGAGCCTAGGGAATTAAGTTGAAAGTGATCAAAGGATAGCGGACGTTACATGCATGCAAGACGAGACAAGACAGGTATGTCTCAAACTCATGCAAGCAGAGATTGGACAGGTATCTAAAATGGGAGCAAAAAGGATTCGCAAAATGTATTGCAAAAAGATGATGATAGGAAGAGCAATGTGACTGGAAGTCGTCAAAGATAAGGCACGGCTATACAAGCATCAGGTCAAGAACGAATTTCAATTGCTTCAAATAAGATTATCCCCTCGCTGCCGTCAAAGCCGAAGGCCATGGACAATGGTGCGAATCTCCGATGAGGCATTAGGGGACCATGCACGCGATTACGTCACTCCACCAGCGACATTAGAGCTAGGATTTCGTTGGTAGGACTGGTTTTGTTTAACCGTTAACAAAAAGATTTCGTATTGATGTAATAATACGAATAAGTGATAAGTACTAGAGCATATTTTTACCACTGTTTATATATACATTTTGAGTCGTTTTACTTTGTTCGCCTATTGATTTTAATAGTACTATTATACTAACACTTTTAATACTCTTTTCCACCTCGCAAAAACCAACTCGCAAGCTCGCTGCGAGTGCTTGCGATGAATGGAAAAGAGTCTTAAATACTGCCTACATCCACACAGTATTTTCAAAAACTAAATTTCAACTCTGTCACTGTTACCACTATCTCCTAAGCATGATCGCAAAATATAAGATATAAACGTCGGATCAGCCAACTGCTTCAAGTGCTATAGAGATACTTTCTCGCCTGATAAACTGAATAATGCGGATGAAATAGAAAGGATGATTCTTTTCGGTGTGAATGGGTTTGCATTAATGTACTTTTAGTTTATATATAACTGATTTCATTTCATAGATAAAGCTGTTTATCGGCCAAGAGCGAAGAAAAAGCACTTAGGTTTTGTGAACATTCGAACAGCAAATGTAGTGTGTTACGTGTGCAGCATTATTTATCTGACTCCTTTTAAGCATTATAGTTAATTAAGGCAACTTGCTATACATAATGAAAATTTTAATAAAGTAAGAATAGAACACACTGCGAAAGGCAACAAATATTTCGTTAAAAGGAACTTACTTAAACTTGTCTGCCACTCGGCACTTCACTCTGTGGTTTCCGAGACCAAGGTCAACGTATTTTTGCTTATCCAGATATACATAATACTATAAAAAGAAATAAGAGTTCAGATTTATGTCATAAAAAAGTATATATTATTTTTTTCAATGTACAGTCAGGGCCCGTAGCTAGACG